CAGCAGATCTTCAGCGTGGCCGAGTCCATCGCCCACCCATTCTACAACCCCCGTGCCGTGGACAACGACATCCGCCTGCTCCAGGTGAGTCTGCACCGGGCACCCAGCGGCCGGGCAGTGCCCCACAGCCCTGGGGTGTGAGAGGGAGATGGGGTGCCCCACGGCCCCGGAGCAGCCGGAGGTAGGGTGCCCCACGAGGGGCCGAGCCGACACTAGATGTCAGTGCTTCTCCGGAGAAGCAGGATCGCGCCATGGGGTGTGATGGAGACACTGAGGACACACCGACCCTGTCCGGATCAGCGGCTCCCGGACAGCCAGTCTCTACAGCAGACTGGGACCAGTGCAGAGGGGCTGTCAGGGAGGGGCCCAGCCTCTGAAGAAGGAGGGGCAGGGTTGGGGGTTCAGCAGGAGCGGTGAGCTGGCGTGTGAGGGAGAACCAGGCAGGAGCAGCTGGGGGGCTCTGCCCCAGCAGCGAAGCCACCCGAGCCCTCGCTGCACACCCAGCTCAACAGATCGGCCACGCTGAACAAGTACGTGAAGCGGATCCGCCTGCCCCCACCACACATTGACCTGAAGCCCGGCACTGTCTGCTACGTGGCGGGCTGGGGGGACACATCCAACTTTGGAGAGGAGCCCACCGAGCTGATGGAGACTAACACCACCATCGTCAAGCGGAGCCTCTGCCGGACGCTGTGGAGGGGCAAGGTCTCGGCCAACATGCTGTGCGGGGCCAGCCGCAATGCCACCCTGCAGGGTGTCTGTGCCGTGAGTGAACCCCTCACCCCGTGCCCCACACTGTCCCCCACTGGGAGACCCTCACTCTCCCTCCCACCCCCTCATTTTGCAGGGTGACTCCGGGGGACCCTTGGTCTTCAAGGACAAGGTTTATGGCATCGTCTCCTTCTCTGGGGAGAGATGTGGGGACCGCCGGTTCCCTGATATCTACACCAAGATCTCCAACTACATTGACTGGGTTCATCACGTTGTGCAAGGGTTCCGCCGTCAGAAGGGGTGGCTGAAGCCCTAGTGTGGCTGGGAGTCCTGGGGGCAGGCGGGCTGTGGGAAGAGGGGCCGAGATGTCTCATGGGAGAGAAGAGGACCAGAAATTCCACATCCTCCAGCTCTGGAGGGGCTGGGAGCTGATGCTCAGGGCTCCTCGACCCAGGTCAGGGCAGGAGCCCCTCTCTGCCCATTGGCAAGGGGTGTTGTGTACCCCCGAGGCTACACCAGAAGCCCCTGGTACATCCTCTCGCAGCGGCAACATTTACCTTCCTCAATAAACCCTCAGTCCCCATCCCACCACTCCCGCTCTGTGTTTTGGTCCCCCTGACTTGTCCTGAGGTGCAGGAGGGAGGGGAGTGCAAGCCCCGTCGCAGAGAAGCCAGAATCTCCATCCAGGTGCTGCCAGCATCCCCAGCTGCCTTCCCG